AGTCATGATTGCATGCCAGCCACACAAATGAAGACTGGAAAATGGGAAACGGAGAATGGAAACGGATATCCAACATGTTTCCCAGGAGACCCCTTGCCCGGCTCTCAGCTAACAAAAGAGCTCATGTGGTGGGCTCAGTACTCGCGCTCCTTCCTCCTTCCTCCTGGCTCTTGGTTCCTGCAAAGATGCGAGGGGCGTGGCTGGTCTGAAAATAAGGGGGAACATACAGGCATACAAGCAGACAGGCAGACAGATGGACGAAGAGCAAGCGAAAAACCTAAAATTTTCAAGCAGCTCCACATTAATGTGGAGCACATTAGTGCACGTAAGTGTATTAAGGATAATGGATGCACTCATAGATATTCGCCGTGAGGAGCCGCTGGTGGGCGATGAACACTCGTATGCAGGTGTGCTGAGGAGCACCCTTTAATGGCAGCGCAAGACATACGGGAGAGAACCTGCAGCGGTCGAATGTGAACGGAGTCCGGGTCTGTGTTTGGTTGTGGGTGCGAGTGTGGGTGTGGGTGTGGGTTCACATGTGTATGTGGGTGTGTGTTTGTGTGGGTCTGGGGTTATCCACATAAATAACATTTGCCCAAGCGACGGGTCTGTGGGACTATGTGATTTCGCTATCTCAACATTTTGTTGTGTTGCATAAAGACTTCGTTCGACCTGACAGCAACCTCGAATCAGGTCAAAGTCCTCCAAAATCGGCCAAAGCCAAAAAATCAAATGCTGGTCTTACAAATAATCCGTCACTAATGATTAGGGAAGGTACGTCTCTGCAAGGTCATCCGAACCATCCGAACCATCCCGTTCCCTTCAAGCAAAGGTCGAACCTGTTCTCAGCTGTTCATTGGGTAGATCGACAATACCTCTAGATTCGGATATGGCGGGATACCCGTAATGAGCCCGCCTTACCGATTGCCATGGAACCCATTTTCGAGGTATGGAATGGATTCCACAATTCGAGACACTCTCCCCCTTATCCATAGAAGATGGACTAGAGTCAGAAGAGCACAGAAACCTTGGGCATCGTCTCTAGAAAGCTTGCATTCTATTTATATATTCTACATATACAATATTTATGCACAATTTGGAATGATCCCTAACTATACTATATAGCTATTCTGCATTCATACATATCTTCCATTTGCACTTTTCCAGTGGGGTCTTCATATAGAATCTGAGTTCCAACAAGCAAATCCAACCTCAAACGCTCGCAAAAATCCGCCATTTCAAGGAAAATACGTATAAATTCTTACGTTGGATGCTCCAAGTGGCACTTATCAAACCGAATTGAATTTCAATTGTGTAGCCCCCAACCCATGCCGTTGTTGCCACCTCACCACAACTCACCTTCCACAGCCAAACAGCAAAACAGCCGAAAAGAACCACAGAAATCTCACAGACAGAAAGACACGGGTAGGGAGGGGCAGTGAGGGGCGGAGCGCACAGTGTGGAGTGCGGAGGGCGGAGTGAGGAGTGAGGAGCGCGGGATGAGAGCAAAGCATTTTTATTGCCATCATTGTCAGCGGGAATTGTCATCATAAATATTTGATTGTTGCATCAATAAAAGCTTATGACACATAAAATCCATAATTTCAATTGTTGCCCCGCAGGCGAAGCGGCCCAGCCCGGCCCAGCCCGGCCCGGCCCGGCCGGTGGCCCCAGCGGGCAATGGCAATCCCGAGCGAAGCGAATGGAATCGGATCAGCCCAAGGTTAATGCAGCCAAAGGAGCCAAACAATGAATAAAGAATAAACTGGATACTGAGACGTGGTGGCTCTGGGAATGGTGTGGGAACGGTGTAGGAATGGTCGAGTGGTGGTGATTTGTGTGGGAGTGGACTTCAAATGGGGGTAGCCTCATAAATCAGCATGGTTACGGGTTGAGGGTAACGGTAACGGTTAGCGCTAGGGTAAGGTAGCGGTAACCCCAGGCGCACTCCCAATTCCGAATTCACCTGGAAAATGTCAAAGGAGAGTGAAGCCCGCTCGTCTTTAATGAACTACCACGGGGTAGTGCTGGCAACCTTATCGTTGATCAGCCGGAGAAATCGGAGAGATTTCGTCTGCGAGAACACTGCCCCTGATGACCAATCAGCGGTTTTTATTATTTAAATCTCATTTGAGGCCCATTTAAAATGTTGGAAAAATGTATTCATAATTTACGCATTAATTGAAAACTTAAACTGTGTGGAATTTCATTCGGCTGGATTGGACTCAAATACAGATGCAGATGCAGGTCCACTTCCAGGTCCAGGTCCAGGTCCATGTCCAAGAGCAGGTCGATGTCTGGCCTCGTGTCCTTTGCTTAATGATGTTGCAATTCATGTATACATACGTACAGATGTACATACATACGTTCATACATGTTCATACATGTTCATATGTATATGGATATCTCCTCACTTTATGCATCGCTTCATATGACAAATTAATAAAGCGAACTCATGCGTACATGCACATATGTGAGTGCAAATATCCAGATGCACGGGCAGTCGTAGTATATGTATGCATATATATGTAGATGTGCATATGTGTGTATATGAGTACATATTTTCGTATCTCTGGCTGTTCATAAATCAAAATTTATGCCCATCAGGCGAAACCCCGCAGACGTCAAGCCGAGCACATTTTCCACTGTTCCAAAAGACAACAACAATTGGCGAGTAATTGACATGATTGAGGGCTTAGCGAGGCAGTGGCGCCACGGAGAGGGGCTGGGCTGTTGGTTAATATGGCATATGTTGGTGGCACTGACCAATACCCAACAATTTTGCACTGCAAACGTCAGCGAAAGTTTCAACGGACAGCCAAAGGACGGACGGAGTCGAAAATGCTCGTGTGTAAAGTGCTAAGCTAAGCAGGAAAATGCACGCTCCCGCTTGCTTCCCCTTGCCCCTTGCTTGCCCTCCTCTCTGGCACTGTGAGAAACGAGAGCAAAAGCAATCGAAAGTGCCAAAGAGTCGACAGGTTTCCTCTGGAGTGGCGTGAGTGGCACCCAATCAAATTTTTCTTGTCCGCCCAGTAATTGATTTGCCCTTGTGTCTGGTTTCGCTTTCGCTTTCACTTTACTCATTTTTCGCAGTGTACGCGGCCGGACTGGCCAGAAAAGCAGTTTATGCGGGGCAAAAATAACCACGAACTAGTTGAAGTCAGTCTAATTTGAATATTACAATTCGCACAGAAGGAAACAATTGAAATATTAAAGAGAAATTCGAACGATCGCCCGTTGGAATTCATACAGAATTCATACGGAAGCCATCAGGCTTTATCGAATAAACGATATAAATCAACGAAAAATGTCATGCTATAAGCATCAAAACTCTTGGATTATCCATTTCGCGATCAAACAAAGGCATAGACCAAAACGATTTCAAGGATTTCCAACCGCGACGAAATGTGCAAAATGTAAATTTCCCAAATTACATCGAAGTATGTAATTGCACTCTAAACATTAGAAATAGATAGATATGGGAAATGAGAAGGTGAGAAGGTGAGGGAGATCGAGATATATGTATGTACATACATACATACCTACTAAGGACCATGAAAATGTGGCAAAAGGAATCCGTTCGAGTGGCAGCAGCAAGAATCAATGTCGAGGAAAACATCGGCATTGTTGCGCTTAACCCGAAACCCCAACACGCTTAACCTCTTCCTCTCCACCCGCCACTCTGGCCCACCCCTTCCTTCCTGGCTCTCCCTTTGAACATTTTATGTTGTACATTTTATTTCATTTAATTTTGTGCTCTTTGGAGGACTTTTTATTTATTTATTTTGTACTTTTCTCTCTTTTTATTTTAATTTTAATCCAATTTCTGCTGAAACACACACACAAACACACGCTTATAAAAGAGCAACGAAGAGAATTTATTTTTATTTTTATTCTCATTTTTTGTTTTTTATTGTGTGAGGGTGTGCTTTTATTTTCTGATTTTTTCCCCCGGCTTGTGGCAAAATATATTAAAAGCTACTTACAAAGTGCAGAGCCAAACGCTTTGGCCCCGTGTGTATGGGTGTATGGGTGTATGGGTGTATGGGTGTGACTGCACATAAACGTACGTGCATGTGCACACACACGCACACACACACGCGCGGAGGGACAGGGCGAGAGAGAGTGCCCACACACATATTTGCAATGTTGTGGTTCCCATATAGCCACGTTGGCAACGAAACGGGCTATGATGACGATACGATGGTCATGGCGATGGCAATGGCGATGACGATGATGATGATGATGATGCAAGTGATTCATGCGGAAAACGAGCAACAATTTTGGTTTACCAGGCAGACAACGCCAGCAACAATGCCAGAAACAACGGGAACAACAACTCGTTGTTGCACCCACATCACCAACAACAATTGACCAAGACATACATGTGTTTACACAATGGGAAATTGCCTATGGGTATGGCCTGGCCTGGCCTGCTCTAAGCTAGGGTTCCGGCCTGGTTCTGGCCCCAGCCCCAACCCCAACCTCAACCTCAGGCAAGCTCGCTTGCTCTTTCCATTTTTTTTTTATTAGAGATGTGGCAGTTTGTTTTTTCTGGATTTCCACGTCCGAACCAAGGACGATTGCATCAATTGCAAAATTTACTGGACTGGGAAAGCCGAACCGAGGCCGGAGAGTAGTCACAGTTCACCCGAAAATCCATCTACATATACCCGGAGACACCCTCAACAGGCAGCTTACTTGCAATCATCAATTCATTTGCATTACCGAAGATCCTGCAAGCATTCGATTCCCCAAAATTGCCGAACGAGCTCTAAGGTTGTGGGTTTCCCTTACTCAAACTTGTGTTTGACTCATTAGAGAGCTTTCGCCATTAGACCTTCCGCGATTTCCTTTCGGTGTCTCTCAAATGTGCCATGATCCGCCAGAATCGCCCATCCCACATGCCAACAAATGACCGCTGCACAACTAGATGGCCATCAGTGTCTAGCGAGACATTTGCTTACTACCAAATTTAAGCATTTATTAGTATACGAAAGATTAGAATACCCCAACAAAAATAGAAAAACCTTACGGATATATGTACATACATATTTACTAATATTGTTTCTGTCCCTTCCGAAGGCTTCGTTAGGAAATCGGATCTCGATACACGTACCCCGAGGACTTGACAGGTATACCGTCCCGTGGCGGCTGTGCAAGAGAAGACTCTGAAGATTCTCTGGAGAAGTCAGCCGAATCGTATTCGTTCGCATAGTTGACTACAAACCACGGTAGGTCTGCCCCAGAGTTTCCATCCACATCTGCACCATTGTAATTGTCAACCGGGGCTGTCGCGTCCGTGCCGTCATCGTCTTCGTTTTCGCCATCCGGTGCGTCTTCCGGACCCGCCTCCACCGGTCCCACTTGCGCAGCAACTCCGCCACCGACCACGCTTGGCCTATAGTAAGTATCTGCAAAGTGTTGGGGAGAATCCAATTGTTCGGCAATTAGCTAAAAGTTTATGTATTTTACCAGTAGATTGTGCGTACTGATAGACAAGTCGATCGTTTAGCTCGGCTGCTGGGCGGCGCGTCTGTGTCTTTGTCTGTGGTTGGGGCAGCGGCTGACGGGGCTGCGGACGGGGACCGGTACGGCGACGGGGTGCAGGACGATTGGGGAGTGATGGTGCAGGCGGTACCTGTTTTGGTGGAGGCGGCGCATCGTAGTCATAATCAGCTTCGTATCTAGCAGCCAATGCAGGACCAGGAGACTTTCTTTGTAAATATAAGGGGCGCAGGGGGCGTCTGGCAAGGCCTGACTGCGGCGGTGCTTTTCCCAAAGCATCTTCGTAGTCTGTTTCATAGTCAAACGGCAGGTAGCCGAAGGAATAGTAGCCGTGCGGTTGCAGGACTGGCCTTTGGCGTGGAGGCGGAGGCGGAGGCGGAGGAGCTGGTGGTTGGACTGGCGGTGCAGTCGTTGTTGTTGTTGTTTTCCTGGGGCGACTCGTTGTGGCTTTGACTTTGTCGGCCTTTGCATTTGAGAACTGGGCACTCTTCAGGAGCAGATTACGAAGGACCAGCCCAAAGTCAACAGTGACGGTGCCGCGCTTCACTCTCAACTCTGATTCTTCGATCTCCGATCTCGTGGTCGAGACCTGTGGCGTCATGGCATGACTCCTGGCAGGACCGAGACCCAATGCGACTAGGAGCAGCACTAGGCAAATCTGGCGCAGCATATTCCCACTGATATCCGTAAGTAATACCGATAAAGTTCTGGGTAGTAGCGCTTTTAGTACCGCACTAGGCGCCGTCTGACTAAAAACTGGCCCTAATCAGCGGTCCAGTCGACTTCGGGCGTAACGCCGAACGAGCCTGGCTGATGGCTGGTGGATTAGTGGCCCAAATCTCAACAAGTTAGACGGGTTAGATGCCAAGCTCTAGAAACACTTGCTAACAAAATCATACTTTTATTTCATACATGGTCGTGCATGACCGGCAAGTGCCCCAAGGATACGGCAATTGTACGGCAAAACGCTTCCCAGGTATGAAAGAAACTTAAGGTTCATTTATGGTATATCGATATATAAAAACAAGGTTTATAAACGGCAAGATATAGCATATACAATGCTGGAACTGGAACTGGAATAACACTCAGAAACTGTCTGTATTTTTCATTTTTGCTCCTTTAACCAACTTCCCTCTGCCTTTAGTGAGATCCAGGCCCCCTAGCTCTCTTTAAGTTCCTTCTGTGGCAGCTCACTGTTACTCTTCAGTTCTCGATGGTAATTCGCTATTCCATGCGATAAAGCTCGAATCATATTATGGCTATTTTTTGGAGGTCATACACACTCCTCATCGTGCAGTGTGGGCCCTTTGGCCAAACTGGCTGAGTATCGGGTATAAATGTTCAGTCGCGGCCCTGGCTGCGACTCACAACGTTCCCGCTCGTTTTTGGTCGTAGTTCAGAGCTCCAAATCTATCGGAAAACGTAGGTTTGATTCTGGAGGTTGTCTGTTCAATAGTGTTAATAGACGGCCCCGCAGACCCCGACACCGGTGGACCTGTCGGTTATGAACAAGTTTTGTGCGTTGCAACAATTACTTTTGAGCTACTTTTTGCAGTAGTCAAAATGTATGTATTAAACAACGAAAAGTATTCATTAAGCCGAGCCGAGCGGTCGATGCATTTTAAAATCTACTCTGCAGACGCACATTGGGACCAACCAATATACTCTATAGGGTATATTTACTGTGATAAACTTATTTCCAAGGGTAGGCAGGAATGCTCTCCGCTACGCGGGAAAAACATCTCCGCATAATAAAAATATATTACCAGGTCACTTTATTGTGCAATATAGTCTGGTCTTTTTTTACAACTTCAACAGTAACCAGAAAGGAAGCCAACATCGGCGCGTCGGTATTCAAATACCCTTTATGACGACCGATCTTCAAAATAGGATGTTAGGTTACGATCGTTACACTCCCCACGCAACGCCACCATTAAAATTTAGAGAAATGAGGGATAAGCAGGGTGTGAAAATTTCTAGGTGGTATTATGAGGCACGAGATCAAAGATCAATTCCTGATCAAAGACAAGCTCAGAAGCGGTACTTCTGATACAAACCTTTAAAAAAATAGTTCAAATGACCAAATTTTGTCTGGCAGAAACAGCGCCGGAGATCCTCCCCAGAGGCCTCTATGGCTCAAAATGCTCCTGCAATCTACATTCCCAGAATATGCTTACTGTAGTCTATTGTAAGGGTAAAACTCAAAGCCTGCAACCGTACTGGAATCTTTGAAACAACTCTTTTCAGACTTTCATGAGGTGTGCACCAACATGCAACTGGTAACAATTGATGTGGCTGAACCTGTTCAGATCACCTGTTCAGGTGAATGAGCGGTACAGCCAATCATTTATATCAGACTCGCTCTGGTCGTTATGTAAAGCACGCTTTTAATTGTGTCTTCGGGCTCTTGATTGTATCTCGGAATACCCTGATACCCAACAGTGGTAAGTTTCAATCAATGATAAGCAAAATTTACGATTTGCCACAAAATGCAATCCCGTTGAAGAATTATTCTTATTTTTCTCGAAATTTCGCGTATATTTCCGCGACCGCGAGAAAAGCGAAAAGAAAAGAGATCTATTTTGCTTAAATATTATAATTTCCACTCACCTTGGAGCTGTTCTAACCCCTGAACCCCCTTCGCACCCTCGCACTCGTATATGTATGAAATATCAGTAGTTCTTAATTCTCGCCGGCTGGGCGAGAGTGTCTGGGCTTTCGGAACAAGAATAAATATTTTCCGAAGGCCCAGACAGTCTAGACTGACACTACACTCTAGAGTTGTTTATGCTGCAGAGTGGGAGCTCAGGGCATATCAGCTTGCAAAATGAATAGCTTCAGATATACATATGTACATACTCGTACAAACATATAATACAAATCGTCAAAGTTTCAGTCTACACTTGTGCATAGCGCTATAATATCTAGAAGCTTTACAATACATTTTGAATGTTGAGTTTGGTTGCCGGTGCGTTATGTTTTTTTAATCCTTCAAGATCATAAAAGGGCAAGGAAATATTCGCTGCTACGGCCGCGACTCTACATTTATACGGCTCGGTTAGCGGTGCAGCTGCAAATTGATTTGTTCCTTCTTGCCTTAATAATAATCCGATCCGATTCAGATTCCAGTCTAAGAGATATGGTCATTCTCTAGGATTCTGCGTTTTTGGCTTACTCGTATCTTTAAAATTGTGGATGCCACAGATTTTCGTCCTTTATGGGGCTATGATACGATCTGGTTCATATTCTGCACTCAAAAAGATATAGTCATTCTATGTATATAGTTCTGTGTTTTTGATTTTTCTCCTGACTTTAAAAATGTCGATGCCACAGATTTTGTCATCTGTGGGGCTGAGGGGGGCTGGCCAAGATATTATAGTCTTTGAGCACTAGGCGCTCATAGGGACTGACTTGGGGCTGATCAAGAACATATACATATATGTACTTTATGGGGTCGGAAACACTTCCTTCTGGGCGTTAAAAACATGCACTATTCCCACAAATCTAATATTTGATGTGTAATATTTCCTATTGAATAATGATAACAATGAATAGTCCCTAAAAAAAAGACGAAAACAAGACGAAAATGCTTAAAAGAATTATCAAAATCATAATAATAAATGATCTTCTTCACAATGCCTTATGGGGTCAGAGTCAGAGTGGCTTCCTCTTGTGCGTTGCACACAACCAATCATAATAGTATTCCAAATATTAATATCCTTTGGAGGAGCATACAACTAATCATTTTGATCATCAATTGGTATCATATATCTCGTAGTGCACCGTTAATCACAGAACTGTGTATAACATCACCCGATACCATCGCTATTAACACTGTGCCACAGGACGAGTGTGTGCCAGCCCGTCCCAGGGTCCACGTCCGCATGGCTTCAATGATGCAAATTGATTGCCGACTAAATAAACTTAAATCACAGACACAGACGCAGCTTAATTTAAGAACATGCACACACACATGCCCAGTGCATACTCGTATACAGACACACACTCGTGTGGGTATTTGTCTATTCAATGAAGTTGCCAGGAGATGCAGCACGTGTGAACACCGCACTCTACGGACCTCCTCCAGCATCCACATGGATATCATCAAGTGACAAAGCCATTGCACTCGGATTCAAAAGAAGTCAAAAGGCACTCATGTGTGTAATTCAATATTGGGGACAAATTGTTTTAAACACGTTCCATTAGATTTCGCATTGAAAATGCCATTACACACTCACACGCGTGCACTTATTTAAATGCTTAGCAACAAAAATCAGCACTGCTCGCATTCTCGCATTCTTTTTCTTTGTGCGATTTCATTAAAATCGTACGAATTCTTTGAAGCCATGACATGCGGCGACGCATCGCCGCGAAATAAATCAGAAAATTAGTTTCGAAATTTTCAGAGTTAAAATATTTTCAAAATACGATAGATCAAGGATTTTGACGTAATCAAAAGAAATTATAATTAATTTTTAATCATACATGCAGTGCCGGAAATACATAAGTCTTAGCAGAGCAACAAATTTTCAGTTTACTGCGGTTCTAAGAACTTATCCCTAGCTATTTTCAACGGATTTAAAGTTATTTGTGTACCTACATAGTTCTCAGAAAATTCCGATTTTCTTCGATATGAAAAATGGAAAATGTTTTCGGTTTCCGGTAATGCGAGTATAATACTTTTTGCAACCTAAGAAGTAAATCTTGCGAAAGTGAATTTGGGAGCACGCCGAAATGACAGCAAAGATGCAAAGAGAAAAAGGAAGCAACAGATGTGCTCTGTCCGCCCCACCTCTCCCCATATTGTGTTTGCCAGTGACAACTGAGAGATTGAATTGAACTTTGCATTCGTGCGATTCCGAAATGGAAGGGGAGCAGAATAGCAATGCGAATGAGAATGGGAATGGGAATGAGATTGAGAATCTGAATGGGAGAGAGTGGGAGCGAGCGGCAGGCAGTACCGTAATTGTGAATTGATTGCTCGAGTGTAGCGAATTTCGCTCGCAGAAGAAGGAACTCGAAGAAGTTCCAGGAGAGCGGCAGAGCGGGAGAGCGGGAGAGCGGCAGAGAGCAGAGTCATGCAATGTATTTGGAAGGCCACTCAATGCGATTTGTCTTGTGTCAGATTTGAGTGACAGAGCCGTTTGTTTGCCTAGCGCTGCAGCGTATGGAAACGGTACAGCCAAACTCGTACGAGAATGTGTGTCCTGATCTGTCTGTACGACTATTTGTATGTATGTACATATGTGTGTACATACATGTATGCATGTGCAGGGAATGCTTCTACGGCTTGCCTGGCGACAAGATTGTCGAAGATAATGTGTAGAAGTGCAAGCCAAATATGTACCAGCGTCGGACTTTATTATTAAGTCAACCTGTTACAACTTAACTATTATTAATGAAGTATGAAATATTTGTCTAGAACTGGACTGGGAGATTCAAGCACAAGCAAACCAAATTTAAGCTTAAAACCAACTCAACATTATCATATGCATGCCAATACAGTTGCTCCGAGATTAGACATTAGATTCGACTTTGACATTAATATGCAAATACTTGGTTTAAATTGGACAATGGAGCAGAAGGCTAAACTTAGTACCGAACAATTCTGGAGGGCCCTGTTCAGCTGTGATCTTGACATTTTCATCGCCCTGCACTCTGGAGATTCCTTGCAGCTTTGAAGCGTATTTCTTTTGACTGATTTACGGGACGTGAGTTTGCTCGGCTG